AGACCGCCGGCTGCAGTTCGCCATCCCACCTGATACCACGTCATTCCGAACGCAAACAGCATCTACAGGCTGTTTTGTGGCAGCTGTCTTCACGTAACTGGGTGGGTGTAGGCGATGCATCGCTTCTTAAGCAGCTCGGGCCTGTTGCCCGGCATTCAAGACGAGCCGACTGCATGGTACCGGTATGCACTGGTACTATTTTCCATCACTGCCGGCCAATGTCATGCCAGTTAACAAAGAGATGGGAGTGAACATGCCGTTACCAAGATGATTCCAGCTTTCTTTGTGACGGCCTTTGACCAGGCAGCTGAGCCCCCTGCGGAGCCTCCTGCTGCGCCTGCCGAGCCTGCCGACCATGCTGCGGAGCCTGTCGAGCAAGCAGCGGAGGTAGGTTATTTGCGCGGCAGATGTGTGTTTGTGTACGAGTGCTTTGCGGGTTTGTTTGTCCCAGTTTGAATTCTCAGTGCTTGATGTGGCCTGGGCACGCTTCCGGCACTTCGCGGGGATGGATGCTGCAATTCTGCGTTTTGATGCCTTCCCTTACACACAGGCGTTCGGCAAATCTCTTTGTGAATGGGCTCAGAGCTGTTGCTCAGTTGACCCCAGTGTCCCACTTGAAACGGCTTTCATGCAACCTCCTGCTAGCAAGTGGAGGCTCGTCGCCCTGAAGATTGAACAAGCGGTTTCACTGGTAGTTTCGTTCGGCCCTCTGAGGCTTCAACTCGCAGTAGTGTTAGATATCGTCATTACCTCACGTTGTGTGACATTGTCCACACAGTGTTGGGGTACGTTCACAAATTGCACAAGGCGTCAAAGTCAAAATGTTGATTTGTGTTGTTTGTGCAATGGAACATCAGTATAGACAAGGGATCCCTGTCACAGCTGTGTCTTCGGAAGGCCCATGACCGAAAGCAGAAGCATCCAAACGCCAGGAAGAGGATGCAGCGGCCTGCCTCGGAATTTCGGAGCTGCAACGCCTAGCATCCAGGTTGGACGCCGTGGAATCGTGCTCCAAGCAAAGCAAAGCACATCCCGCAGTGCCTCCAGGCTGGGCTGCAGCCAGTCCGCGATCCTGCAAGCAGCGGGGATCGACATTTCCGTGGTGGCGGCACTTCCTGAGGCCAGGAAGAGCTTCGGGTGAGTAACAGGAATTCAGTCGAGTGATTGCATCAACCGTTGCAGCCCTGTCATGTGCGGGCAGGACATGCGCGCATCTGTGGTCATGGCAGAGGTGTCGCAAGTCAGCCCGGAGCCTGTCTCTTTCACGTTCTCGGCATGCCTTGAAGATCAGACAATAGACAATAGACATCCAACGGTGCTCAGGCCTCGATCACTTGCGCCGAGCTCCACAGGCAGAGATGGCGATGCCAGACATGACACTTGCAGGGTCGCGTCCGTGTCTTGGACGTGAGAGGCTTCGGACCCGGCAGCGGCGACAGCACACGAGGTCGCACCCGATGCGAGATGGCTAGTGATCACTAGTGATCGCCTCAATCTGTCACTTGGCTTCAGGCCGGCAGCGCCGCTTCTGATATAGCCCTGACCTAAGAGCCTGAGAGGGGGTTACCGTCTGAAGCACACAAGGCTCACACTCGTATTTTCTTCGTGAGAGCAGCAGAAATGAGCCGCAAAAGCCGGTGAGTTGCGCTTCGCTTCGCTGCAGGATGCGGTGGTCCTCGAGGCATTGCCCGCGGAGATCCGCGACGAGGCCGAGCTCGGGCGGCGCAGACGGAAAGTATCCGAAAGGTCTGAGTGTTGGGAATTAGGAACAGAGCTCCGTTTCATGGCTTCGCGGCCAGTGCGCCGCAACCAAACACCACAGTACTGTAGAAGCCCAAAAGTTGGAAACCCAATAGCCTCAGCCCTTAAGATTCATGTATAGGGAATCCCAGCACTGTCTGGCCCCAATCTGGTTTCCAACTTTTTGGGGGTTACTATAATGTGTAACGCCAGCGTAGTCGAAAGGTTACTGAGCCTGAATCCGGAGTGCCACGAGGTCCTCCGAGAAGAAGCTGTTCGTCGGCGAGAGCAGCAGGCAGTGGTTTTCTCCGACGTCGTCGACGTCCTCGGTCATGGCTGTGCTGTGGAGTACTGGCGGGCTTGTAGATTCAGTCAGCGTAGATCTTGCCTGTGCTGTGAAAACACCACTGCGGTCGCAGAGGTGGTGCAGAGGCACATGCCCCCAGTGAGATTTCGTCAAGCACGATTAGGAACCGAATCTCAACATACTGAAAGCTGTACTTCGTCGATGTAAGCCGAGCTATCGTCACTGATGCCCCAGCGCATTGACACATAGACATGACGCCCAGCAGTCGCCTATTGCAGGAGCATGCATGTGTGACCTGTGTTGGTCGTTCTAGACTCGTTGAGTGGGACTTTTTATCGGTTTTGTCCCGTGATGATAGAGCTGTCGCAGATTGCATCAGGCCAGCGCAGCTGCACCACCTCGCAATGGTCTCAGTGACCTCTGGCAAAGTAGAAGAGACCTTCGGTTGTGTGTGTTTCAGGAATAAGCTCCTGGATGCTTCCGATACTTTTCATTGGCTTTCGTTAGCCCTGACCTGTGTCTATGTCCTGAGGCTCGACGCAGAGCAGTGAAATGGACAATGCATCGTTCATCGCGTCTGCCCGGCTCGGACACGAGGGAACACCAGCGACAAGAGCTTGGCTCGAGGGGGATGCGGCCTCCGAACGAGAATGCATGGCTTGCAACACCATCAAACGGGAAACTACAAGCAAAAAGGGGGCTGCATTGGTTGTGCCGAAACCCACGTCGTGCTAGTTTGTGAGAGTTTGTGGGGTGGGTCAGAGCTGGTATCTTCCATGTTTTGCAAAATTCGGCCAGGTCATTGGATCCCCTCTTACGCGAAGAGGTGCTGCTGAGCGCTCCGGAGGACAAGCAGCGTGTAGCGTCTTTGGCATTGCAGTAGGTCCTCAGAATGTTGGTGGAATGCCGTACTTGTACCCACTCGGATGATGTGACAGAGCGCCAGATGTCACCTGCCTATATTATGCCTGCCTTCGCCTGGCAGGAAGTTCTTCGGACCCTTCCGGCCGAGCTGGTGGCCGAAGCGTAGCTTTGTTGCTTCAGATCCTTTTTGCGTTTCTCTGCTGGTTTCTTGCTATTAACATTAGCCTGGGTCATTAAGTTCAACGCAGCACCACCTTTCTCTTGCTGTCAGACCACACGCCTCTGAGGCAGCTTCTCCGAGATCGTGCAGCGAGCTCGGTGGGGCCAGGTTTCACAATTCGCTCGGTGACCAAACCAGGGACCTTGCGCAGAGCCTGAAAGCAGCACTCAGGCATTTACACGCATTGCACTTCGGCGTGAGATTCCGGCAGTATGCAGCCCAGCGCCAGGCTTCAGGAGGGTAGGTTCGAAATCCGGTTCAGCTTGAGCTGGCTTGGCCGGCCTTGGATGGGGAGAGTTTTCAGCCGGACAGCCGAGGACTACTGCCCTGGTAAGTCTATTTATTGGGACGTATTCATGTGCATGGCAAGCGAGCCCAACAGGTATGAAATCTCCAGTGTGGTGCATGTCAGAGCTGCAGGTATCTGGGCGGCCGGTGGTCGGCATACCACCTGGTATGAGTCAGGCGTGAAGATCGGCGTTGCCTTGACGAAGAATCCCAACAAAAGCTCTCAGCCCTGGAAGGCACCCCAGAGCCAGCGAGTGGCCCAGTCCCAGGTCCAGGCTCAGGCCCAACCACAGGCGCCTGTGCTCTCATGTCAAAGGGGCCCTGCTACAGACCATTGAGGCCAAGGGCAATTTTGAAAGCAGGAATGCTGCTCACAAGTTCTGTGGTGTCCCTCCTGGGCAGGTGCTGTGCAGCATGTGTTGAGTTGTCTTAATCCGAACCTCTGTGTGTGTGTGTGTCTCAGCCCATGTTGCCCGCCTTGTCTGTGAGTCGGAGTGCATGAATGGGCAGGCATGGCCGCGGCAGCACGCGCACTTGCTAATGATCGAGTCGTCTTCTTAGTCAGCACTCGAGTGCATGGTTTCGCTGCTGATCGTCAACAAACAAATTCCATGCGTGCACATATCATATCGCATATCGAGAATGACACAGCGCCGAATCAGGCAGCAGCTCCTTCATCATTCTAGCGGCGTACGCCGCTGGGGTGGGCTGATTGCTCAGGAAGAGCCTCGCTCGACCTTCCAAAGAGCTGCTAGGCGAGCCCCCGTCTGCTTCTGAGGCCCATCGGTCTACAGAGACCGCCTCGAGGACAAGGTGCGACGATGTTCCGGCGCATGTTTTTGGACCAGTGGAACAAGCACACACTGCGAGGCATTAAAAAATAGTTTGATGCATCACAGGGTCTGGCGCCGGAACCTCCCTGCCAGGTGAAGCAGGTGAAGCTGGCGAGTGTTTTGATGGCGATGGACCTTCGTACTTCGTTAGGAGTCTCAATAGGCTTAAAGTATGCAGCGAGACGCTCAGAGCTCGCGAAAGCTTCGCTCACAGCGAATCCTCGTTTCGTTGGCTGCGCATTTCCCTGCCAGGCACCCCCGGCCTGAGCTCTTTCGACGACGCGGACCAGCACCTGCCTGAAACTCGGGCTCTGCAGGACACTCGCAGCACGACCCGCAATAAAAATGGAGGCGAACTAGGAACGCCGGGAGTGGGCAGAAATGGGGAGAACCTGAGAAAGCCCTATGTCCCTATGTCTCGAAGATCAACAGTTTCCCAGATTGCAGCGCCTCGGAGACTTCGATGATGGCACTGCGCTGGTAGCATCCCCAGACTCTCCTTGGAGAGCTTCAGTAGCTTCAAGAAATCAGGTCCGGGACTTCAGTGCGATGTTTCAGTCGTGCTGGAGTTGCATGTCACTTGTTCCTTCGACAGACATGGTTGGACTTGCCGAGGAGGTTCCTCTACCAGCAAGCGTCGTTCCACACACCTGCCGTCCGGAGCCTATTGGTGGCCACTACATTTCTCCGCACAGGCCTCTGCTTTTTCTGCTCAGGTTTGCTCTATCTGCGTGTGGAGATCGCCACCATGCCCATGACGCGGCTTTGCTTCAACCTCTCCCTGCATCCGGTGACTCGCAGCTGGCTCCTGGGCCACTTCCTCATCCTATTGTGCCGGCAGACGGAGCCAGAGGCCTCCTTGGAATCCCTTCCACCCCCTTGCCTCTTTGAAGGACTGGATGGGCCCGGGTCCCAATCCAAGCAGCCTCACCGTAGTCCGCTGGAAGTTCAGTCTGTGGGCTCTCAGAGAGTTTTGGCCATTTTGGCCTACCTACTCCGCCGAGTGCCCCAGTGTGGGGACTTCTTTGCACGGAAGCTGCAGAGCGAGCCTTGGTTAAAGGCTTTCCATGCACCACAATGGTCGAATGATCGTAGCAAGAAGTCGCGGGGAGATGTCTTGCTCCTGCAAGGGATTGCAATTTCAGATTTGCCGGGCCACTGCGCAGTGAATCTTCTCATGCAGCTGGTGAACACGAGACTCTACTTGTCTTCCTCCCGACACGCGGCCTGGCTGCTCTCCGTCTTGCATGCGCTGCTCTGTCCGCAGCCGGCCCGGAGCTCTACCAGCTCCAAGGACTCGGAAGCTTTCAACGAGGCGCCCGCGGTGCCCACGGTGGCCACGGCCAGCGCGGCCACTGCCACTGCCGCGACCATTCCGCCCAGCCCGGCCGCAGCGCAAGCAGAGGAGACGGAAGAGACGCCCGGGTCACAGCGGTGGAGCAAGATCATTGAGGACATGCACACGGCCCTGTCCCAAAAGAGCGTGCTGGCTCTTTGCCACTTCCTTTGCCATGCCGGCAGTGGCCACGGCTCGAGTAGTGAGGGTGACGCGTTCCAACTTGCAGGGGATATCCTGGTGGCCCTGGCAGCTTCACGTACACACCTGGACACCGTAAGGTGTGAGTTGATGCAGGTCCTGGCCACCCTGGTCACGGACATCGAGCGAGCCCTTCAGGAGTGCGAGGCCGCCGCTGCAGAGCCCTCCACGATCGAGTCGCGCTTCCTTCGCGTGGTCAGGACTTTGACCGAAGTTTTCCGGGAGGCCTCAAAGTCAGGACCGGACCGAAATAGCTCTAAGCCAGAGGGCTTCATGGAGGAGGCTCGTGTTGAAAATTTGTGGGATGCCCTGGATCGCACGTTGGAGCGCCTGGATGACCCGGAGATGTCAGCCACGCCAGCACAGAAGCTCCTGTCCTCCGGTGAGGGAGACGCTGGTTCGCCTGACAACAGCCAGTCGCCTCCGAAGCCGTTGCTGAACCGGCTGCTGCCGCTCATTGAAGCCTTCTTCGTGCTCCATGGCCACATCACCGAGGAAGCGGACAAGGTCCCACGACCAGAGGAGCCACTTCAGATGACCGAGGGTGGCTCATCCTCATCTCAGCCGGGCAAAGTCCCGTCACCAGCTCAGCTGTTGCTCGTTGTGAAGCAGTGAAGCACAGTGAAGCAGCCATCAGCACAACATAGACCAGCTGCAGGATTTAATCCCGTGCTGAGGTCGCGGCACGTTTTTGCCGAGTTCCACGAGCAGTCTGCAGCAGAGAGATCTCGCTTCGGCCAGTTCTGCAAGAAGCATCGGCGTCCGTTGAATGCGCTGCTGAAACAGACACCTTCGCTTCTGTCGAAGTCTTTCGCTCCGGTCCTCCAGTATATGCCGACCTGTCTGGACTTCGACAACAAGCGGGCCTATTTCAGGTGCGCATGTCTCTGTGGTAAGGCAGTGTGCATACTCGGCAGATGTGCCCTGGACCTGTCGATTAGCAGCCCCCTGGCCAGGGCGCAGCTGCGGCCCGGAGCTCGTGTGTTTTTCCTACTTGTGCTGCGAGTTGCCCGAAGCCAGATCCATGTTGCTCTACAAAAACATCCCGCCGCAGAGCCTTGTTCGACGTAGTAGGTCTGTGTCCTCTGGCAAGGTCTCGGAGGTTAGAAAGCCGGTATCAGACCATCCGCTTGCGAGTCCGTCGAAACGAGATCTTCATGGCCCTGGACTCAGTGTTGCTACAGCCTGCAGACGTTGCTCAGTTGTCTTTTCGACTGGCAAACACTCAGGACTCATACCACCAACTTCGGATACGGACCGGTGAGGAGATGAGGGCCAAGATCCAGGCCGTCTGCAGACCGACTCTGCGAATCGGAAGCCCTCGTGAGCTCCTTGCTGCAAGGTTCAATTCCAGGGCGAAGAGGGCATCGATGCCGGAGGTGTGGCCAAGGAGCCTCGCTGCTCCAGCTTTCGCAGAGTCTTCAAAGGGGCTTAGGATGTGCCAGCTGCCAGCTTGTCTGAGATGCCGGCCCAGGAGTGGTACGGAGCGCTGGCTAGGGAAATTTTTAACCCCAACTATGTTTCTTGGACTTGCATTTGGTAGTTGCCGTTAATTAGTTGATGGACGTGTTCAAAAGAGCGAAGCCCCGTTGGCAGTTGTTGAATGGTTTGAGTTCTGAGGCCCTCTTTGTGCAGGCCGGTGGCAAGGCCTGATTGCTCAGTTGGCTACGGGCTTTGCTGTGCATGTTGTCAGTGGCCACGCGGAGGCTTGCACCTACCACCCGAATCCGATGTTGGCAGCCAAGTGTGCCAAAACAGGGGGCGTATTAAATGGCTTCGAAGTGGGCCGCCATCTACAGAGATTGCCCACCGAGACCAGTCCTGTGCCAACGAGATCAGGTCCTATGTCAATAGAGACCACCTCCAGTTTTTCCACTTCATAGGAAGGGTGGTTGGCAAGGCTCGTCCTGCACAGATGCTTTGCAAGCGCAATGTGTGGAGAGGGCTTGCTGATTCCCATTGGAAAAAGAGCTGAGAACTGGTGATTTCCAGGCCATTCATGATGGCCAGAACCTGGAGGCTTGGTTCACCCGAGGCTTCTACAAGCACATGCTGGGAAAGAAGGTCCGCCTATGTTGCCTGTTCTGCCTACTCGTGCTCGAAGAAGACCTTGCGCTGTGTGCTCCAGGTGATTCCTGCTGATCTGGAAGCATTTGATCCTGAATACTTCTCCAATTTGAAATGGCCAGGGTCACAGTCCCGAAGAGCTTTCGCATTCGCCGATGTGACTTGTACCTAAGGATGCTGGATCATGCCGTGGCCCCAGCCTTGTGATCGGGGCTGGACGGTGGTGAGTGCGGAGCCCCGTGACGTGTCGTAAAAGAAGTGGTAACGGGAACGGAAGTGGTGCCAGTACGACTTAAATCAGCAATTGGTTTTCGGGTTCTCTGATGCGTAGTACCCTTCGGATCCCTTCGGTCCAGGTGGTTTGCAGGTCCACGCAGGTGAAGGCCAGCTCGATCGCTGACAGGACATCACAGACATCATCGAGCTCACCTTCTCCGCAGAAAGCGACGAGCTGGGGCAGATCAAAGCGCCTCGCCTAGTTTGCACGTGGCCAACAGGCGGAGCAGGTGAGGCGAGGAAAAGCTTGTGATGTTCGCTGTGTTGGGCTGCCGGGGCAAGGTGGTCGACCTCAAGCCTCAGGGCAGAAATTTGCCCGTAACCAACGAAAACAAACATGAGCCGTGGCCTCGGACTCTGTTTCCTAAAGGGGGCTAAAAGCCCGGAGCAGTCTTCATGCCTGCAACATGCTGCAACATCGCATTTTTGCGGGAGTGTTGTTGCGCCACCTGCTTCAGCAGTGAGGTACATTCAACTCATGTCGGAGCACAAGATGTGGCGGCCTCATTCATTGTCAGGTTCTCTAGCCGATTCTAGCCAGAGGCAAGCGGTGCGCATCGCTCGAACAGATGTCGCCACTTCAAAAGATCCCAGACATCTCAAGACATCTCAAGACTGTCATGTCAAGGACCAACTCCGTCAAGCAGCAAATAGAGCACTTCCTCAAAGGCCGGCAGAGCATGGTGACCGGAGTGCCACTCTTGGCTATGCTCAATATTCAATATCTCTGCTGCCGAGGCTTGCATGAGATCGTCCCTCCGCAGCTGTCTCCGCCTCGGTATTCTGCGGAGATCAATCAGACCCGTGCTGCGTGACTCCTTCGCAATAGTAAATAGTTTTCTTGCGCTTCTGACAAGTTGAGGCTATCGTTGTTTGACGACAAGGAGCTGGAGCTTCTCATCTCGGGCCTGCCGGATATTGACATTGAGGAGCTCAGATGTGTGTCACAGGGCCTCCAAGGAGGATGAATGGCTGAGCTAGTTCTGCAGGGGTACTGCTTTGGGGTGGCGGCAGTAGCGAGTGTATGTGAGGACCTGAAGCAGAACACCGAGTATCACAACTACACGCCGCTGTCGGATCAGGTCCAGTGGTCTGCGCCTCAAACGGCAGCTCCACATTATACCACCGGTACGCTCCAATCCTCAGATTTGAGCGTCGAAGCGGTGTTTGAATTTGCATTGAAGGTTCTGGAAGGTCTTGAGCGAGTTTACGCAGGACCATCACGCCCATGTGTAGCAGCGGTCCACATCTGCATTCATGTGGTGTACAGTGCACACAAGCCAGCTACTTGTACAAGGAGCAACGAGCGTGGTTCCTGCAATTCGCCACTGGAACCTCTCGAGTTCCGGTCGAAGGCTTTAAGGCGATGGGGCATGATGGCCCAATGCCCACGCAAGATCAGTGAGCTGGGAGTTTGAAAGTCTTTCTGACCTGCCAGGGTCTGGTGGGTATGAGAGGGCCGCAGAAGTTCTCGCTTCACCGTGCGTATGGTATGCATCCCAGATATTGGTCTTGAAGAGGGGGGACTTCTGTGGTTGACTTCGATGTTTGGGTCGAGAAGGATGCACGTCGAGTCTGCTAGCGTTGCTGCTTCCGTCGTGCACGGCCTTTGTATGTTTCAGACACCAGGAAGCAGCTTCTCAACGAGTCCTTGCTGAGGTTCAGATCGGCTCCCATCGGCGCACACCTGTTTCAACCAGCCGCGACCTTGTTAGGGAGAGCCACAAGCACCCTCCCCTTTAGCAACACACTGTGCATCAGCGAAGGGCGAGAAGTTTCCTCAAGCAAAGGAGTTCCGCGAGATTACAGGGTAAGATAAGGCTAGTGGCGACCACCATGTAACATTTCGGCCGGAGTGGAGCTGATGCAACATGAGGGTGGACTTGCCGGAGTACCCATCAGAAGACGTGCTTCGAGACAAGCTGCTGCAGGCTCTGCCCGCGGCTCTTTTTCCTTGCTGTCTCTTCACGTTATGTGCCAGAAATGCGAGACTTTCAGTCTCGGTAAGCGGCGAGTAAGACTCTTATTTCGCGGAGTATCATCGCAACATCACTGCGGGTATGTCTACCATGCACAGATTTTGTGTACTCCACGCTCGGTGTTGCCACCCGCTTTCCGTTTGTCATTCCGTGCCCCAGGTTTACCTGTCCTCCTGCAACTCGTCTACTCCTACAGACTTGTCTTGTCTTCGAACGGTGAGCTCCGCTCTCAAGTCGAACGGCCCCAGTCGCTGTTGGGTTGGGAGGCGGGTTGGCCCGGTGTAAAAACTGGAGAGTCTTCGAAGAGTAGGGACAGATCAACGTGGTAGGGTTCAGGCGACTATGGATGGGGCCTAGGCGCAAGAATGGAATATCAAACAAATGACTTGATTCGCTTAACATTGAAGTGTTGGAGTCATGTTGATCACGGCAAGAAGCTCGCGTTCTTTCACCCGCGTCTGACCACGGCAGGCCGTGAGTGAAGGGCATGAAGGCTTCGGTTTCGCCTGAGCCCAGGCCTCATACCGCGACCGGTCTCTTTCCTGTCGAAAGTCGTACAGAAGCCACTGTACTAGAAGCTGCCGAGCTGCATGATGCGGCCTGCCACAGGTGATTCATGGTTCTGTGGCCTTGCTGCAAAAATACGGGTATCTGCTCAAGCGGCCGTTTATTGCGAAGCGAGCTGCTGCTTCCTTTCTTGGGATAAGCGGATAATTCATAGAGCTCGCTGTTTTTTCGTACCATCCGAGGCATCTGTCCAGGTCGTGTCGGCTCGCGTGAGTCATGCGTTAATTCTTGCGACGCCTGGCGATGTGTCCTCTGTCAATCCTCTCCTCTTCAACTTGTAGGAAGTCAATTCCGCTATCGCCAACATCCAGGAAGCGAGCTTGTCTAGCTAGGGCCTAGACAAGGTGGACAGTCAAGACACATTGTTGGGTATGTCCTGCGGTCTTACGATGTTCCATGGAGATGTGCCACAGTGCGCGTCACTTGTCCAAACAGCTGGAAGTCCCGGTTCCTTGGGTTTGCAAATGCTGGCATGAAGATATATCCAGACATATATACATATATAGCACAGAGCATATATCATATCATATATATATATATATATATATATATCCGGCGGCATGTCAAGAATTCATCCAACATCAGTCGCACTGAGACTCGGTGTGGCGAGTCAAGAATTGAGCCTTGCGAGATGGCGTGACTTGATAGTGTCCAATAGTGGCATTGTAGAGTCATCTTATGCCTTCTGATTCTACTTCGATACTGCCAGCGGCACTTCATTTCCAGATTCAGATGCTGTGTGGAAAGATGCAGCCACAACCCAAGGGACTGAGGATTACCGGGCACACTGCGGCGCCTAATGAAGAGCTGTGCTAGCTCCGTGCGTTAATGGCGCTGCCTCTCCATGCAGTTGGGTTTCCAGTCTTGGGGAAGCATCAACACAGCCCACTTCAACCCACACCAACAGAACTCGAGAACATGAAGAGGAATTCCTGCAACTCGAAGAAGCGCTCGCTTACAAACTGAGAGCGCCGTACAAGGGCTTTGCGTGGGACAGTGAGCCCAACCAGGGAAAAAAGCTGCCATAAATCCCTCGTGGCAGTGACTCCTCGCGACCCTCAGGTCTTCTTTCTCTATCTGCTCCGTTGCTGGTTGGGTAGATAGGCAGCAAGAGAGCTCGGGCTGAGCAGGCAGCCGTTTCAGGACAGGTCTTTGCTGGACATGCCTGTGACTGCTTGTGTCCATGGCTCAATCCGAACATCGCCGAAGAACTTCATGCAGACGACATCCGTGCCCTAACCAGCCCAGCAACAAGACTCGAGAGGCCCTGCGTGGGACCAAGCAGACCAAACAGCTCACCTTGCAGCAGCACAAAACCATGTAGCAGTAGCCGCCCGACGTAGCAAACGTTGCGGAAAACGCCATCATTAGCCACCTGAGACGTAGATGCGCTGCCACTGCGGTCTTTGAGACTCGCTTGCCCAGCCGGGTCGGCGTGGAGAGCTGAGCATCACGAGCCGAGAGTATTCTCGCACCGGCATGGATTGTCTCGGAACTGAGGCAATGCAACGTGAGGCACCCGCTCCGCCCTCTCCATTGGCTCTGAAGCCGCAGGGAGCTTAATGGACTAGAGACCCAAAGAGCGCTTGACATGCTGATTCACAGCTCGAGCGGCCGTGGCTTCGCGCCATGACCTGGGTTTTGTTAGCTCTAGGCTCGCTTCAGGGTCTGAGCTTGTCTCCTGGTCATCTTCTTGATTCTGAGTGGCTAAGGGCGGTCTCTCAGCGGCGAGCTTTGGAGCACTTGGCGGAATGTAGCCAGGCAAGCTGGGCAAACTTCTCTGCGGTGTCGGAGCTGTATAAAACAGGGCTTTGATCCTGCAGCCGTTCCGAGATGTTCCTAGTCGAACTGGGCTATCAGAAGTATAAACAGGTTGCAGCAGGTAAGCAGAGGCATCCGGAAAGAAAGAAAGTATCAGTGCATGATTGAGTTATGAGTGAACGATGTACGCGTGGACGCATGTATGTGCGCGATGTCACGAGAGCATAGCCAGTGGAGTGAGGTGGATCTCCTGGAGCAGCTGAAGGAGCTGAAGGTTCAGCGATGGGAGCGCTGCGTCTGGACCTCGAATCTGACACAAAGACTCAAAGTGCTGCCGGCAGGACGCGATGCTGTTTCCGCATACACCTATCAGGTGGCGTCCTCATGGCATCCAGTCCTGAACCGCTTTGACAACATTCTGGCAGCTCCTTGCCTGGATGGGATCTGCATGAGGTTGACGGATGCTTGTGTGCAGTAGAAGCCTTGCCGCGAGTAAAGCAACCTACAGAATGAACATAATTCCATCAGCAACCCAAGCATCCCTTGGTTTGGGTTTCTGCTTGCTGCCGTCCGCCATGTCTGCGCGTGGTTACTGTAGGCCTTTGCTGACCCCTCGCAGCGAGCAGCAGACGGAGCTCCCGACGAAGAGCTTGTGTGCGAGGTATGGCTGAGGGTGAAGCAGCTGTCGCTGCCGAAGGGGGTCCAACTAATGTGTGGATGCAGGTGCTGCGGGTCTTACACGATATTGTTTTCCTCCACCAGGAGCTGAAGGGCAAGCACCCAAGGGGAGCCAGAAGTGTTTAAAGCTGCTGGAAGTGTGACGAAAGACGGAAGAGTCCAAGTCTTTCTTGTATCATGTAGACCTCTTCGAGGAAAGGTAGGACCTTGGTACCGAAACCTGTTCAAGGTGCGGTGGACCGCCTCCGAGACTTGTTGCAGTGTTGGTGCCTGAGTAGACTTTGTGAGAGCAGGGTCGCCTTCACTTGAGTCTTGCAGGAAGCGTTACCAGCCCGTTAACAGTTGTTGCTGGCATGCCACAGATCAAAGGCTCAGAGCTGAAAGTGCTCCTTGGTGCTCGGGCCCCGCAGCGCCGTGATCACGTCGGGTGAGATTCTTCAAAGGCCTCAAGAGCAGCTCGTTTCTGCCGAGGCGCTGCGCTGCTTGGCCGCCTGTCCACCAAGCCACGACCCTCGGGCACAGTGCACCTGACTGGAAGTGAACGCATGTACCTTTGATTCAGGGTCAGGGAGATGCGTTTCATGTGACCACAGAGTGGCGGCCGCTTACGCAAGCTCCGTTTCGAACACATGAACATCCAAGGCTTAATTGCAGGGCCTGAAGCAGGAGGCTGCTTGAATTCTTTCACTTCGTCATACGGCGCCCCCTTTCCCCTCATTTTGTACCCCTCCGAGGGAAGTGCATGAGATGGCATCTACATAAGGTTATCGGTACTCTGAATTATGGATCCATGACTGCTGCGAAACACTTACCCTAAAGGATGCTTCTCGTACAAGGAAAGTCTTAACAACCCTCCTTGAAGGAGCGACCGGAGTTTCATGGCTTTCTTGGTCGGGCAGCAGCCGCCGCTGAAACCTTGAAACCCAGGCCGACATCTTCAGAGCTCTCCTCTGGCGGCCGCCATGGAGCGAAGATTAGAGGCGAGACGCTGGCACGATCTCAAATCCCACCTCTGTGGCCGAAAATGAACAGAAAGCCCACAAAGGTCCTCGCTTGCTGTGGTGCCCCGAGACGGAGCCTCAGTCGACTTTTCAAAAAAAGGCGGCATCGAGCGTCTTTTTCCTGAGGCGTTCTCGGGAGCACGGGTTTCCGGGATGCCTGCAGCTCGGAGGCTGGGAGTCGAATCGGGCTTGAGGGTTTCTAGGGTTTGGGCCTTGGGGTCCAATCCGCCATGAAAAATACGAGTAAATACGAGTCGAAGAACTCTTTGTTAAAGCCGGCTGTTCAGCTGAACCTTTTTCTCTGCGCATCGGTCGGACCTGTGCAGGACACCGAACTTGCTGATTTCGAATTCGAGATTCCTGAAAGTGCAGTTGGGAACCCAGCTTCTGAATCGCCGGCACATCTCGAGTCCAGGCCCAAGGTGGCATGTTGCTGCTGTTGCAGCAGCTGCTGTTGTTCTTGTTCTTGTTCTTGTTGATGATGATGAGGAAGAGGAAGAGATTGATGGTGGTGGCTGGCCGTTGCCAGTCAGCAGTCGGGTGGTAAGTAGTCATGGCCATGTTGCTGCTGCTGATGATGATGATCAGGCTCATCACCAGTATCACCATCATCATTAACATGCTTATGACCACCACCATCATCAGGATCATCGTCATCATCATCGTCATCATTGTCGTCATCATCATCATCATCGTTGTCCTCTTCCTCTCTCCTATACCTCCGCCTTTGCACCACCACCACCACCACCACCACCACCACCACCACCACCTGCTGCCTCAGCTGGTCTGCTGACGAAGCTCATGCGTTCTGAATGGACTGCGACTGGAAGCTGGCATTGCCGGACCATGTCCAGTCGGCAGTCCGCCTCCACTGGCCTATCAGGAAAGCGGATCGTACTAGTGACTAGCAATGTGCCGACAGCATCCGTGCCAAGCGAAAGAGATGCCATGCAAGCATGGAGGCAGTCTGTAGGAATGGTCAGGCCAGAAAAGACTTGTGATTGCAGTGAGCTGTGCCGCCAGGGAACCAATCCTTCAGAGCCTTCGGTGCTAAAGGCACGATGTAGATCGGTAGGGTTCTGTTCGTAGGTCACCAGCCACAGTCGTCAAAGCGCGTACATTGGCTGGAGAAGCCGCTTGCGCAGGTACCTGCAGCCTCTGTTCAGCTCTCAGTGCATGTGGGAAAGCCTCGTAGCCAAATTCGAGTCCGAACACGGCACTTTCGTGACTTGTGTGTCCTTCCTTGTCTCAGGCAGCGGAGCCTTTCGAAGTGCTCCTCAAGCGGCTCGAGGCCAGTACGGCTCTTGCATGCGACACCTCGATTGGCGATGTGCATCCCTAAACTTGCAAGTCGTTTCTGTGCTTAGCGCAGGAGTCTCCCATGGTCACAGATGCAATTCGGCCAGCCCTGTACCCAGAACAGAAGATGGTTTGCTTCCGGGCGTCCGGGGTTCATGTCACGACCACTGGTGTCTTTCAGCATGCGTCGTGCAAAAACAGACGGTGAAGATGAGCTGCAAGCATCAGATACCTCAGGCTCTCATGCTGCAGCTTCGTTTGTGGCGCGGCCCCTAGAACCTTCGCATGTTGTATTTGCTCTTGTCTGGGATCATTGTTCCGTTTTATGCTTGGTTTAGCTCAATCTTCGCGGTCCCAAAATGTTTTGGGGCTTCAACTGCTTTGCTCCGTTATCTTGCAATGTTGCTCTATGTGGAATCAGGCAGATTGTTGCTTGAAGCCGCTCCGGGTTGAAAAAGGAGGTGGGAAGACGCATTTTCGCTCGTGATTTGCGCGCTCGAAAGGGCTGTGTTGCGCAAGTGTGCAATTTTTATGAAAAAAACGATGTTCAGTTTCCACTGTCAGAGAGGATGTTCTGCAATTGCTCAAGTCTCGTTGCAGACCTGTAGTCTGGAGAACAGGGCGGCATCTTCCCCTTGTCGTAGCTTGCGGCAAAGCCTTGTGAATGTGAAGCAGATGCCCGGCTTGAGGAGACTACAAAGGTGTTGTTGGGACAGACAGCCACCATCTCGACGACTCGGTGTCAAGTTGAACGCAGAAGCTGCATGATGGTGTTTCTTCTGCGACAACCCCAAGCTACTACAGATCCAAGGATGACAGGTCGCACCATCCGTGACTGAACGCATCTGAACACGACGTCAGATGCCTTTCGATGCAGTGGTAACCCAAAATCATCTCGTAGATGGTCCAAGTCTGAGCTCGCGACAGGACACTGGACAGGAAAGCATGCACTAAAAAGAAACATGACCTGGAGGTGTCGTGCTCGAACACTCGAAGGCAGACAGGAGGCAAGGCACATGATACATGGTCAAAAATTCTGTGAAGCCTGTAAAGGCAATAGTGTGACGGCATGTACCAACTACCTTTGCCAGCAGGTGGTTGCTATAGCGCTTTTGGCCATCTGCAACTCCATTAAGCACATTGGCTGGCGGCCAAGCTTTGTCACGGTGATATATATATATATATATATATTGATTGAGCACATTTGCAAGCCCAGTTACAGATGGAAAACCAAATCTGCCGTGAACGAAAGGTCCCTGCATGCTGCAGCAGTACCTGCAGAAGAGGTGCATCCAGTTTGCTTGGCCTTGCATCCGCATCGGCGGAGATTCAGGGAGTAGTGCCTCTCTCTCTCTCTCTTTCAAACTCGCTTCTGAAATGCTCTCTGCGTGTGTGCATGCCGATTGCAAGTTCGTAGGTTCGTCATGTTCACTCCAACCCCCCGACTGGTAGTTCATGCGCTCGAGACCATTTCCATCTTGAGCATGTGAATATTTACTTGGAAGTGCCCAAGCAGCCCTGAAGCGAGAGAATCTTCCAGGCCGGGACTTCTGTCCGAGCTCTGCGAGCTGACATGCCCTGAGCGTGCGAGGGGTGAGAAGAGAAGTTTGTTTTTGCATTTTTTTGGGCGCCTGTGTCTTTCAATGAGGGTTGTCACTTGTCACCGTCTCTTCCGAGGCTGCAGAGCCTTCAAGCAGTGGGTTCTGACACAGGCAGGGCATGGCCCAGCGCATTTTGGCACGTCCCGGCGCGCGAGCTCAGGGTTTGGCGCAGGTGTGGCGGCGCTCAGGGTCACGGGAGCCATCCTCGACTCGCGGTTTGGACAGAGCTTGGAGCTTAGGGCCTTAGGCCTTTGGGTTCGGGGACTAAGTCTGCTGGGGGCTGAGCCTCTTTGGTCGAAACTGTTGGATCTCAGGTCGATCTGAAGCTTCGCAATTGTCGCAAATGCTGAAGACTCAGAGCCTTTCGAAATCGAAATCGACGGCTACTGACGGCTTTGGCATGGTGTTTTGTTGTGCTGTGTTGGTGGAGACCACACCTCTGGTGCAAAATGCGTATCAGTGTATCAGGTTGGGCCTTTCTCTCCCGCATGGAATAGTCGCATGTGCTGAGACCTCAGGTTTTTGTGGAAATTGTTCATGGCAGCCTGCAGACTTCAAGCGTTTTTTTTCCGGCTCTCAAAAGCTGCTGCAACTGCATGGCCAGCATTACCCGAAGCCTAGGCGTTGAGGGGCCTGCTTGGACACCAACCAACTGATGATCAGTCAGCCAGCGCTTGTTCCAGCAAAGTCTTCAGAGCTTCAGAGCTTGTGGTGCAATGTCGAGCAGTAACCGGTCAGACTCGCCAGGCTGGAGGGTCACAATCGAGTCCTCCTGGCTGTCCCGCGCTTGCAAGTGCCTGGCATGGGCATGACCCCTTCGAAAGCGTCGCTGCATCGCCTCGTGTCAGCAAGGCTCTGGACTTGTTTCAAGTCACAACTGTCTCAAATCACCAAACAACGGCACAGCTTGGGCCAGTACCTTGGACACTCCGTGCTGCGTCTCATCTACCCAAAGCTAAACGGTTTGAGCTACCTTTGAGCAGGCATGCGGGAATGATCCTTGCCATGCTGGAGCTCATGCAGAAAACTGATGTTTTTGCCTCAGCTTTGCCAGGCAAGAACCGTCCAAATAGAGCACCCTCAGCAGGGGACGCACCGTGCAAAGGTGGCATGCCTGCCGGCTGTGGCAGCCATGCTGCGATGCTTGGAGCTGGCAGCAGAGGCTCCCAATTCCCAAGACTAAGCCGAGTGCATCCACTTGAACTCTTTGGGAGGTCTCGGGCACTGCTGCCCTGGTCTTGTTTCGAGACTTCAGCGGCCTGCAGGCAGGTTTTTTTTGTTTTTAAGCGGCATCATTGCCCTGTAGATGTAGATGGTACAGGGGCAGATGAGAGTGTAGTTGAGCGAGAGAACTGCTGTCGCATGTGCTGGCATGGTTGCATCTCACTGCAGAAGCCCTTGGCAGGCATTCTCGTTGAGACTCCAAAGAGAAGTGGAACTGATGATGGCTGGGAGCTTGGGCTCGATGGAACCATACGTACTAGTAATACTGGTCCAGATTGTTCCAGCGAGGCCTTGGACTTCACCGGCGATGCCAGAAGACTCAGCCTGCCGCGTGCTTGCCGGGAGCCATGCGACACTAGCTAAGGCTTTCGAGCTGGAGCCACCGGGTATGGAGGCCACACGAGACGAGAAGCAGAGGCCGGGGCTGAGGCACATCTGTTGTGGAGGTGATTCCTGCTCCCCGGCTCACGACATGAATCAGCAAAAGCACAACAATTAAAGCCCAGACATAAGCATTGACATCCCGACTCCGACCATGGCAGCGACAGCGACAGTGTATGACACTGCAGGTATTGGCAGCTCCTCGAGGAGGTCACTGCACGGCGGAAGCTTTGCCGCCAACTGCCTCCTTCCCAGACGTATCAGGCGAAAGATGGAGGATGATTCAGGGATTGGCGTTTCATCTCCCTTTGCAAAACTTTTCAGGACCTGCAGGGTCGTGTTCTCTGAGGCTGAAGAACATCCAGACCGCCCTGCAGTGCACAGAGGTGCTGCAGGCCGAGGGCAGCCGACATGACGGACTCTCTGCAGATCCCTGTCCCGAAAGGCCGGGCTGGCCAACGTCTTCCAGGGCCCTCTGATGGATGCGCTGAAGACCGCTCTGAAGGCGATGGCGACCGTTTAAACCGCTCATGGAGTCAGTTGGAGAAGCGTGCAAGTTCCTCCCAGGAGCCGTCAAAGGTCGGGCTGTCCCTGTTCGGCACTGCCATCGACATCGTGTCCAGCATCATACAAGATGTCCGGAACTCGCTCAGCGCTGCGTCGAGCCGCAAAAAGCCGCAACGGGGGCATTCGCATTCCCGATGCTGCGGCCTCTCAGGACCCCGCTCGGGTTCCTCAGATGATCGACTCCGAGGTTCTGCTTGGAACCTGGCTGCACACTGCCGTCGATGAGGTAAGACCGCTGGACCCGATTTTGAGGCCTGGAATCATGGCGGCCCTGAGCAAAGACACGATGCGAAGCCCGAAGCACAGGGGCCGGAGGGAGCTGCGGACGGGGCGAGGCTTCAAGGACCTCAGAAGTTGCGCGCTTTTGTGCCAAAGGTGCGGAATGCGTCTCCTTTGTGCCCGGGGTGCTTGCATCCATCGCTCTTCATTCGGCCGCGGTCCCAGAGAGCCGGAGCTATCGAGTCACTAGCCTGAACTGCAGCAGGTCGGTGAGGATTTCCTTCTCAACTCGCCGTCAAAGTGAGGGCCTTGGCCAGATGTGGTGAGACCGAAATGTGCACAGCGACCGCCGGGAACCCGGTGCAACGCCGAAAGAGCAGCTGATCGCATCCCGAGGCCCATACAGCTGTTGACGGACATCCTCGTGGACCCGAGCTTCGCGCCCCTGCTTCACTCTCAACCTGCGCTAACCTCAGAATGCCGAAGGCCACGTGCAAGAACTCCGCAGCTTCGTATGCACTCCTTTGCACCGTCCGCAGATGTCCGTACTGCATTCCGCCTTTTCAAGGAGATCGCCCAGATCATGAGCACCCAGGTGGACAAGGCCAGGGCCCGAGGTCATCAGAGAATGTTATATTAAAGTATACTATATTATAATCTATCATATTATACTATATCTATTATAATATACTATACTATACGATACGATACTATACTATACTATACTATACTATAGTACATGATAGGGGTCGTCTTCGTCTTCGTCTGCCCCTTGGCCTGGCCGAGGTTCTTCGAAATCGGCCGGCTGGGCCCAACAAGCTCACCGACCACGTTCCTTGGGCACAAGGATCTAGCCGAACACCCGACATCGGTGGGTGCACATTGGGTTTAGGGTTTAGGGTACATGGGGTACCTCAGATCCCTTCCTTGCTTGCCTGGGGGATGTCTCCTCTTGATCTGTTTGAAGAGTGGCCGCGCCAGATGTGCACTGTCCAAGGTGGTCGACTGCATGCTTGCAGGAATGCGCAGCATCCTGGACCAAGCCAAGGATGCTCATCTAGTGGCTCCAATGCGACCGTAAGCTCTGCATCGGTGGCGCTTTAGGCAACTTTTTCAGGCTCCGAGTTGAAGGTGGCAGGTCCGCAATTGGAAGCGCTTGTCCGCAGGCTGAAGCGGTCTGAGTTCCTCGAGTCATGTGCTGCAATCTGCAGGACTACCCCGAGTGGACGCCTCTGGATCTGGAGGACACTGACACGGGCCTGCAAGAGCAAGCGGCGCAGAGAAATGCACCTTGAAGTGTCAGATGGCGGCCCTTTCATGATGTGAGGACCACACGGAGTATTTGGCAGACCGCCTCGTTTGCTTTAGCACCGCTCCTACTCGTGGCGCTTGAACACTGAAGCCACTCACCGCTGTCCACACTGGCACAAGCCGTGATTGCATGAGCGCCCATCGTCAAGAGCGAAGCCTCTACAGGCATTCCCCACATTCATGCTGCTTTCATTGCAGACACAGGTCGTTTCTGCTGGTCCATCTTGTCCACGAACGAGCAGACTTTGAAATCCTTCCTCGAGAAGCCGCGGCCTCAGAATTTCTTCTCTACTCGTGCGAGCATCAGCCTCGGCCGTTTGTTGACGTGCCGCGCTACGGCGCTATCGCGCTACGCTAGTCTGAACCCATGGGTTCTTCGGAAGGATTTCGTTTTGGCTCCTGGCATCAAGGAAAGGATTGGCGTTGGTGCGGGAACTTCACGAGTTGCCTTGTCCGGGCCCCAGCCTTGCAAGAAAGGTGCCGTCTCACCAATGATGCAGGCATTCGATCAGATCTTGATATGGTGAAGGACTCCTGAAGAGACTTTCGTGCTCAAACCATTACAACCTCGCTCCGTCTTATGGAGCTTTGTGATGAGTCCCCACTCCAACCATCGTCGGCATCTTTCTCACTTGACCTGAACTGCACTCCGGCATCACCAAGGTCTGCCGTACCATCTGACATCGCTAGAGGGTGCGGTGCCTTGAGACTGATTGTGGATGCGCGTGCGGAGGTAGCAGTGATGATGAAGGCTGGTGTAAGCGCCCAGGTCAACAGCATCCAATGGCCGGACTCTTCAACCTTCAGGTGTTGGGATGTTGCATGCTCTTCGGAGTTTTCCTGCTGTTGGTTCTGATCATTCAACGTAGTCACTTCTCGCAGGCACGAGGCCCTGATGGAAACTTAGCGGTGGCAGCAGAGTTGGAGGACATGCAAGGGCCCAAGGAATGCTGTATGAAGTGGGCCGACACAGCCATGGCCCGCCTCTCCCTCCGAGGTTGAACTCGAACTTCCAGAAGGCTTGGATCTGTCAATGAAGGCCGTGGTGGCAATGTTCCCTTCAGCCAGGCAGAGCCAATGCTCAACCAGTGTGTTCCTGGGAGTGTCAGACACTTAGCCGATGGATGCTCTGGCAGCTCTGGCAACTTGCCGGTGTCAGGGAAGCCCGGTAGCTGCTTTTGTGAGTTTACCCGGTCTTAGTGACCTTTCCACAAGTAAAAGGAAGCCCCTGATTTCCAAGTGAACCTCGGCTCGGCTTCCAGGATCCCTACACCGCACTGGCTGCAGCGGATGATGCGCAAGTCAGTGCTTTCCTCCGCAGCATAAGCCGCTCGGCTGCTGCGCCCGGATCCCCAGAGGCTCAGTCAAAGCTTTTGTTCCCAGATTTCTCAGTTGGCCATCAGAATCAAATGTGCAAATAGCAGAAGAACGCTGAGGACTCTAGACTAGACTTTGAATCGACTGCAACAAAGGTTTTGCAGTCATTGCTACTATTGCTACTGTTCACAGCATCATCCGTATTTGGACTCGTCTGTTGCTCTGTTCACTCCTGCTAAGGCTTGAAGGGCTCCTGTCCGTGTGCCGTGAGGGCAGCTCTGTGCAAGTGCTGGAGGCCGGTGTTATAGGTCAGGAAGAGCAGATTTCGCAGTAGCTGCCGGAGTTGCAGCAGGAGGAGTAGTGGGGGCAGGAGTGGGAGTGCGAGTGAGAGCAGGAATAGGCATATTAAGGAGCAGCAGCAACAGCAGCAACAGCAGTGGGGCTTGTTGGTGGTGGTGGTGGTGGTACTAGATGTGCTGTGGGCAGACAGAGTGATAAGATTTATGTTTATGGTGATGGTGATGGACATGAATATGAATGTTTCCGATACACTGGCAATGAGTGTAGCTGCCAAAGTCAACGCAACTATGAATGGCTCCTGTGTGTCGGAGCCGACACAAGGCAGGAGAGGATAATGAGAAAATTCATCCAGGTCGGCGTAAGGGTTCATAACATGTGATCGCAATGCAACGCGTCATCAAGCGCGGACGAATCCTGGCGAGGACGAACTGGAAGGGGTCTCTCTGTCCAGAGTGGCTTGAACCCGGGAAAGAGGGAACAACTACAGAAGGAAGGCAAATGCGAGTCCCGATGTGCTTGTTGCCCTGAGTGACGCGGTCAGAAGACACTTGAGTTGTTGCTGACGCTTGCTGTTTCAGCTGGGCTGGTGAGGCAGTGCGAGCTCCTCTCAAACATGTGGGGAAGCTGGGTGGCTTCATCTTCGCTCTCGCAGCGTGGTATCCACCAGAGGTGCAGGCCGGGAGTTATGTGTATACGAACCAGTACGAGGGGAATCATGCCAGTCACATCAAAGCAACCCTTTGGAAGGAGCGGGAGCGCAACAGCGCAACGACTAGTCTGGCTCCAAGCGTCTTTCGCGGCGAGCACGCACGTCAAAGATTTGCGGTGATTGTGCAGCATCGGACACCGAAGAGCAGTATCCGATGGCGAGTAATGGCGAGTAGCAGTTGCCGTTACATGCTTATCCAGCTGCAGGGCTTCCATGTGAGACGTGTAAAGCGCCCAGGCTATCATGAAACGATCAAGACTTTGTTCACCCCGAGCTCTACCTCTAAATCGGAAGGCTTGTCGACTGCTGTGCTCTCATGCAGTGCGTGCGGAGATATTCCTATGTACCTGCAAATGGGTGATAGACTAGGGTGGATCTGCAGGTTCCTCGCCGTCTGGATCTTCAGAAGCGCGCGCCCTAGCAAACTGGAGCAAGCAGAAGAGTCGATTTACAAATCTCACCAACTGCAAGAATAGCATCATGAATACAGCATACAGCAGTCAGGCACAGCCAGAAGAGAAGAAAGAGCGTGAGTTTCCTATGAAGGCGAGCCCCCTTGGAGTGCACGCGACTCTTGCAGATTTCGTTCCTCTTGCAACACTGTTGCGCTCGGTTGCACAAAAAACTCAATCTAGGTCCCTCCCGATGCCTGACTCGTAATCTCGCGCGTGCAGGACAAACCTCTCCTGCAAGCAGCTCGACAGAGCTTCCGCCTCACGGCGCATGCGACGCCGGGGACCCCAACCGAATCTTTCGACGCGGCTGAGCCCCTTTCAGCGGGTCGCGCTCTGAAAAGTGTGAATACCTGAGCCTACGTTGGGGAAACTGAGTTGTCGAACAGATGTGTTTGCCAAGGCGGCAGCTCCTCGTGGTAGTCTCTAAGCAGCTGCACAGCAGGGCGCGTCAGCGAGAGGTCACGTGTGGTGCTCGGTTGCTGTGATACATTCCGCTTCGGAGAGTGCTCAATAGGACGATCGAGGTCTACAGATTTTTCAGTTTTGGCAATCCGAAGACGCTTGTGCGCCCAGGCCAACCATTTCCGGTCTGGCCACAGAGCTGGCAGAGGTGGCCAAGGCCTGCCGAACGGGGAGAGCGATTCAACTGACTCAACCCGAGTGCATTTTCACAGAGAGCGATGTTTGGATATGTGACACGCGCCTGTGCGTGCATGCATGCAGGCGTGTGTTTCGGCAGTTCCCCCCAGCGACACAGCCCTGACCCTACAGTGCTGTGTGCTGGGAGCATCTGGTAACACCCCAATGCAGCTACACATAGCAACGCTCTAATTACGCAAATGCTTCGAGCACGTCCAGTAACGAAGCAGAAACTGCTGCGGCGTCTGACGATGTCTTGCCTGCTTCCCGCTTGGCAAGGCCAGTCCAAGATGCCAGTTTACCAAGGTCGCAAATCTTCACTGGACTTCGGACATCTTCGACCTGCTTCTCCGTATGCACGAAGAACAGCCCCCTCCTTACCACCCATTCAGTTCACATTCTGGAATCCGTGTATCACACTCTGCGTTTACACCCTGCGGATGGCCCTCCTTTCCAGGAACCGTGTGGCCGTCCGGCCTCTGAGCCTTTCAGCTTTCTATCAAGTGGGTGGCTTCGAACTACTCGAGCCTGAGCCCCGGACCTGCCGGAGATCGAGCGGAATTCGAGTTTCGGATCGAATTCTTGTTGCCATGGGGATGCCTCTGACAGCGTCCTTCAGACCTGCGGTAGCAGAAGAGATGGCAGCTTCAGGCCACTTCTACAGAAGGTGGGCCAGCACTTGGATCTGGACGCAGGAGAGGGCTTGTGGCAGCAAACCCCCCGCGGACCCTCCACCGGCATCCATTGCAAACCAGAGTGGAGTCCACCCTGCTGCAGCGTAGCAGGCACAGCATTTAGCCCTGTTCATGCCGCTGGGCTTCAGGACCACCAGCCCTGGGCAGCGCCCTGGCCTACTTGGAGAAGGCCTGAAATCCTAAAAAGACTTACAGCAGTCCGCTTTGGGATGAACCACCCGCCATCTACTGCCAGGTGACTTCCCACAAGCGATTCACCAATGCACCCCAGGCAACCCGGTCTCCACTTGTGCAGACCTCTGGGCCACCATGCATTAGCTGCTTGTGACCCCTGAGAGGTTGGTCTACTCAAGGTAGAGGACGGCTTCATCCCCAAGGACTGCCCGTTCGGATCGGGGTCTCTGTTGTTGGCAGAAAAGTTTGGAATAGTTTGGACATGTCGTGATGTTCATGGCTGTGCCAGGATCCACTCTGTCGGTCCGTCCAAGCAGAAGCATTAAGGATCATGCTGCCAGCGGGGACCTGAAGATCGTCGTGCTGAGGCAGACTTCACAGGTTCACTTAGGCACAATTCAGGACTGGGGCAGATAGGGCGTTGAGATCTTATAGGGTGGATAGTCCCAGGGTGGGAGGTGGGTAACTGACTAAATTTCATGACGCCCAAGAAACAGGAACTTCTTTCACTGCATGGTCGGGGCCCAGGTGTGGCGCAACGCAGACCTGGCCCGCTTCCCCGCAAATGCAGCGCAGTCCTTGATGAAGGTTGGGAGCCTAGGAGCCGTCCTGCCCCGTGCTCCGTCGTTACGAGTGGCTGCGTCATGAAGTGGGCAGGCCGCAGAAAAGCCTTTGCTCAGGTCTGGGTGCACTCGCTGGATGGACCACGCGACATTCCGCCAAGGCCGACTGCGAAAGCTGCAAAGTAGTATGGATGGCGGAGCCAAGGACCCTAAGTCCTGCCACTTAGACTAGAACGCAGCATTGAAGCGGTCATGCCGCACGGGAGAGCCATGCCCTGTTCGACCTTCTGCTCCGGATGCTAGTGCCGGTGCTCTGAACAGGTAATGAGGAATCGAGTAGTTCTCGCAGGAACAGGCTTTCTGGAGCATCCAGCGCACTCTTCCGTGCCAGGCCTGCGCAAGCCAACCCAACGGCCACTACGAACAGCGGCACGACTGGTGGGACGGCACCCGCCGCGACCAATGCCAGAAGCCATGGAGTGGTTACGGTTGTAGCAGAACAGCGGGCTGCAATGAGGTTCACTAGGTTTGCTTAGAAAGCTAGTGATGGCGAAGAGCACCGCCTTTTCATGAACAGCATTCAATTTTCGATAAGTTTCGCCAAGGCTTCCACAGCCACAGCAAGGGGGCGTTGGGCAGACGAGGCAACGAGGCAAAGCATGGCCTCGCTCCTGGACTCTTTCTGCATGGCCATACTGCAGAGGCATTTCCGCAACGGGAGAGTCCGTGTTGTCAGCTTTATGACAGTGTGAGGTCACCTCCCTCATGGACATGGGGTTCCCACGAGAGCAGGTGGAGTCGCGGCCACAGCATTGCGAGTTCAGCAAACAAGTTCCAGGAGTAAACTGCGTGTATTCTCCCGGTCGACGGCCTGCTCATAACATTAGGCCGCAGTTCACGCCCGCCACAAGACATTAACTTAGGCTCTTCAGTGGATGCTGGTAGCACACTGTCACACACGAGGCGCCGGCTGCAGGAGGTGGACAGCAACACACGTCCGGTGGGGTTCCAAGCCCGCTGCTGCCTGCCATTGCTAAAGGCCATGCTAGGCTTGCTGCAAAGCCACGGCTTTTTCTTGTCATGACATCACGGCTGGCACTGAGTGGCTCATGGTGCGATTATTGTTAATCGATTCATTACCTCAAGGCTATAGGTGCTGATCTTCGATCCCGAAACACTATCATTACCTGTGACCCGACACTGCCAGGACATCGCTTCGCTCATCATGCTCATGGCCGTGTCCTCGGCAATCGGCTGTGTTCAACTCCCCACCCTTTGTGTGTGCGCCCGCCCACTCTGCCCGCTCTCAAGCGCCTCCGTGTCTCGGCGAATCTCGGAGCTCCAAGGCCTCCGGCGAGGAGACGACATCCGCAAGCCCCCCGGCACAGGAGGCGCGCACCCGGGCTTGTGGGCACGTGGTGGCACGCGATGGCCCTCGTGTCTGCTGCAGTAATTTCGATCAGGCTGCCGAGACTCCAGCACCACCTCCAAGCGCACCACCAGGAGCTGCGATGACTGCCGATCTGGCATGCAAAATGCTACTGTCTGGAAGGAGTCAAGGCGAAAACGGCGGCCGAATTTCAAGAACTGGTGGCAGACATGCTGAAGGAGCGGAATGTTCCACTGACTTCATTCATGCATCCCGTTGCTGGTCAGTTGCAGCAAGAGGAGGTCGTGTGTGTGTGTGTGTGTGTGCGCTTCCAGCTCGCGACGCTTGCAAGGATCTCCTGCCCAGGATCTTGCTCTTCGGACGGAAGGTTCCAAAGGCAGGGGGCCGAACATGAGCTTAAAGTGCTTCAAGTGCACATGCGTCGGCAGCAGGCGATTCCGGTGGTGGCAGATGCCATGGCCTTTATTGCCCACCACTCAGAGTGGCAACCGAGGCTGACATGTCTTCGAAGGGCCAATATGTCCTCCCGTTGCATGCCCGCTCGCTGAGGTCGCAGTGCCCACGCAGCTTTGGGACCAAGCCGCCGGCTGCCTCAAAGAAGCGGGGCCCAAGCTCTTGACTAAAGGGTTAGCACAACCGAACCCGCAGGTCGGCAAAAACGGTCCAGAGGCGAATGCATCCTCGGTGGTGCAGGCTTGGATGGGCTCGGCCGAAGGGTCCAAAGGTTCTCTTTGGCCAGCTTGGATCAACAGGCGTGCCTGGAAGCGCTGGGAGAAAGCGATGACCAGCCGCCTGCCGATGCGCTGGCCTGTGTGGCACAGGCACAGGGCTGCGGAACAGTGCAGAAGCCTGCCGAGCGAGTATGCGCAACTTCAGGGAGTGAGTGCATGTCAGCAAATGAGAGCCTTGAGAGGTCTTGGCAAGCCTACTGCATCGACGGCAGCAGGCCAGGAGGGACAGGAGGGATCTGCCGTGGGGCCTGTACCTGCATCGAGTATACCTGTCAGGTCGTTACTGCGATTGGACCGGCAGGGGCTGAGTCTCTCCTGGTCAAGCTCAGCAGGTGGTCCAGAAGCCCAGAGCATTTCTCCGATGCGGTGTGGATGTGTGCCGCCACAGCATTGGGCTGCTGTGATGCGAGGTCGTTGCAGAGCATCGATTCCACTGTGGAACCCTTTGTCTGGCTCCTAGTAAGTTCCTGGTAGTTCCGGACATGTTCGTATTCTCGGCTTCTAGCTGCAGGCTCGTGGATACCGCACCTTTTGTATGGGATCGGCCAGGATCTTGGGCTTTAGGTGTGTCGTTGTCGCTGGGCACTGGGCCGCTGGGCCGCTGGGCCGAGGCAGCGCCCGCCCCGGAGGGCCTCGGTGAGCTACTGGCACCCCCCGCCTGGCTAACGCCAGTGAGGGCCTCAAGGTTGCAAGCCACACACAAGCCGCAAGGCTGTCGCCAGGCACAGGTGATTCAAAGGCACACCAAGCTCAGGTCACTGTCTGCGCGCATCAGCTGCTGATCTCCGTGGACTTGGTCCAACTTCGCCAGGGCCGAGAGTCGCTGCGTGGACCCGGCAATTTAATGCCTGCGCGTGCCTGCGCATCGCGCATGTCAACGCCCATTTTCGACTCCGTGATCTCTCCCAGCCGCATCCAGCCGCCGTTGTTTCTTGCTCTGCCAGGTGCCGAAGTGCAGAAGAGCTGGGTCGCCGGGGTGTTGGACATCCTCTACGCATTTCCAGGCACAACGCATGCGTCCGGGTATCTTAACTTCCGAACATCCGTTGATGTTCCTTGACATGCGTAGGGCCCACCCCGGATTAAGGGCGTACCATACTGCGATTTTTCATGTGCAGCAGAGCAAGATCTGTTGTGCAAGACGTCTGACCATGTAATTAAAAGGAATGACCGAATGACCGCTCGCAATTCTGTACCACGCCTGCTACATCTGGTGACGGACAGTCCAGAGGGCGCACGAAATCCTTGTCGCACACGCGTGCAGGACTCGAGCCTGGACTTGCCTTGGCTTGCATCCAGCTCCTGCTGAGGACAGATTTGCTTTGGAATGCGAATGCAAGCCTGAACGTAACCAGCAGCAGCAAGACCGAGTGGTGGAGGCTTTGTTCCACCCAGATCGGTGCCCACACGTTCCTCGAGTATCAGCCGAAGCTCTCGCTGGACGAGGAGGGCAAATCGCTGAAGGCAGCTCAATGCCTTGGAAAGCTGGAACGGCACAAGCTCTCTTTGCAAAGAACCCTCTCTGTTTAGGCTCCCTCGGAGACGGCCGGCGGCATGATCCTGTTGCTGCGGCTGGCGAGGAAGACGATTTTCACTGGCATGTCCGGCTCTCAGACATTCCCACGATATCATGAACTCTGGCAGCTGCAGACTTAAGGCTGCAGATGATTGCAGACCTTGCAGTGACCCTCATGGAAGAGGGCTCAGCGCTGCAAGCGCGCATGGAGAACGAGATCCTGGCCCTCTTCTCTCCGCAGGCTGGGGTTGCCAGATCTCACAAAGACACTCGCAAGCTGGGTTTTCTGCCTTGCAGGTGAAGACGCTTCCAATCAAGCAGGTTTTAGCCCTACCATGTAGCCTGGGCTCTGCTGATGCCAGATGCTCCTCTTTTGCTGCAGCTCGTGTGACATGCTTGAGCAGCACATGTGCATTGCTGGGCTGTCTGCTGCATGTGAACTCGCGAGTTTTGCTGAGATCGCAAGCCGCTTGAACCACTTGTTCATTCGCAACCCAGACATCTTCGGAGAAGCCATCAAGGCTGTCCGCGGGACATGTCGTGACTTCACGTCAGATTTCTGTTGCTCGTGTTGCTCTGGAGGCGGTTACTCAGAAGGCACAGGCTTCAGATCAGAACTCCATTGTTCTGGAGCCCTTGCCGGAAGCAGAGAGGCGCACGTTGTTCGGTTCGGGGCAAGCCGCGGAAGCGCTTGGCTGACGTGTGGTTGACATGATGCTTTTGGATTCTTGGATGCTTTCTAGCTTTAGTATCGTCCCAGCACTGATGGCCCCATGCTCACTGCTTGCTCATGCAGCAGGTCGAAGCAGAAGCCTGCTCCACACGCTGGCGCGCTGCTCATGCTGCAAACCCTGGTGTCCGAGATTTGCTTCAATCTCGAGCTCCAGCACAGCACTGCCTTCCCGAAGATCTTTGACGCATCGAAGAGGCCGGAGCCAGAGGCCGGAGACAAGAAGAAGGAGAAGGAGAAGGACAAGGCCGAGAAGAGCGACAAGAAGGAGGAGACAGAGAAGGAGAAAGACAGTGCCGCCGTGAACTCGAAGCTTCCACCACTTTTCCCTTTGGCCTTGGACTCCAATGCCTTGCTCTTTGTCCTCGATGCCTTGGTCACTCGAGTGCCGGGCATAAGCGCGCTTGCCATGAAGCCACCTTTGCCGGTTCCGGGTACAAATCCAAGTACCCTGCCTGAGCCATCTTTGGCTGTGCCCGACCGCTCTGAACGGCTCTCGCAGAAGAGCCTCTTGCTTGTTATGACGCGGCACTTGCTTCCGCGATTTGCGCAGCTGGCAGACGTCTGGCAACAGCAGATCCAGCCACTGACCAACAGTCAAAAACTACATTTGACCCACACGGGGGCCATTATCCCGATGCAGAAATGCATGCCCCACCTGGCCACCACCTTGGCTTCCACGGCTCGGCTCTCCGTGGAACCACGCCGTGCCCTGGCCTCTGAGGTGGTTCTCAGCACCAAGGCCTTAGCCGACTCCGAGTCCTTCTCTCCTGCGCGGCTTTCCTTCGGCACGGAGGTGGCCGCCGTCTGCGGCCTTGTGGCAAGGCTCCTTGGAGCTGCTGCTGCCGTGGACCGCAAAGAGGATAAGGAAGAGGCCGAGGAGTCGAGACCAGGCGCAGTGCCGCATTCTTTCCACAGTCTCTCCTCGGCGCCGCTAATACTGCCCGTGTCAGGCACCTCCGATGCCAAAGACAGCCGGCAGCCCGGCCAGGGGAGCTCCGTGGATCCTTGCAGTCTTGGCCACGTGACCTGTGCTCGCTGGGCTAGGTCAAGGCCAGAAGAAGGCGAAAGGCCCGTGGGAATTACAGCTGGCAAGCGTAGCATTTTGCATTTCGTGATGGTTCTCATGATGCGGCAGCAACAAGTACAAATAGCAAGGACTGTAGCATTCATTGTACAGATCTGCCGGATGGTCTTCTGCGCAGGGCCTTCGTATTTTTGACATGCTGTCATGCAGCACAGGCAAGAAAGAATCGAGCGTCTTCTGCAATCAAAGTGAGACACAGGCGCGTGACTCCCATGAAATACGGCGCCGGGCTGCTTCGGGGCTTGGATTGAAGGCTCTTCGTGAATCCTTGGTGGCAATACTGCTTCGGACAGATCTGCAATGCCATGGCCTCAGGGGGAGTTCACCGCGCATCGGGAGGTTCTCGTAGTTCGGGTTCTGAGTTCTGTTGAGGTTCGGTGGTCATGGCCGTGGCCACTGGCATTGTGAAATGCCTGGAATTCCTGACGCGACGGGAGACGAAGAACCGAAGCTCCCAGGCCGGACGCAGAGCCTCTGAGCATCTCTTAACCCCTCGGCCCCTCTGTCTCTCTATGCTCCGAAGCTTCGTCGCCAGGGGCCCTTTTCGCCGGAGCCGGCACCGCCCATGTTGCTGGAGGCACTCAGGGTCCGGGTTGAAACGTCAGGGCCAAAGCCTCATGAGACGCAACACCGAGTGCAAAGACACGCAGGGAGAAGACGGCCTCGGGCCTGGTCAAGACTTCACAGCGGACTTCGGTGTGGGCGATGCCGGGGCCATGGTTGGCGGCCGTACTGTGCGGAGGGATTCGTGACATGGGCCGTGCGGCTGGAAGCAGAACCAGAACTCAAGAGATGGAAGCCCATTGACAGGGCGCCGCGCATGACGATCTTGACAGAGATGACGAGGCAGGTTGTTGTGCGAGAAAGACTTGAAACGTGTTGACTGCAGACTCAACATTTGGAGAACTTTTTCATGATGTGCCTGCGCATCGTATTCTGCAAAAAGTTGAGATTTCAGGAAGATGACGAGGAAGAGGAGGATGACGATGACTTGGCAGAGGAGGACGATGAGGTCCGCGATGCGCGGTTCCTGTCACTAACACTACGGGTGAAAGTCAACTAACTCCACTGAACTGAGACCCGGAGCCAGGAAGCCATGGCAGGAATGGAGGGTGGACACCTTCCCGAACATGTGCATCCCTTACTGGCGAATTAGACAACACTTCTTAGAGGTGTTTGTCCTGTGTCTCACATCTATGCAATTCTTTGCCGCTGAGGAAGATTTCGGTGACGAGGACTACGATGCAGAGTTCGCAAGGGCTCCCAGTTTCGCGGGTGACGGTCATGCACAGCATCTGTTGGACATACCTTGGCAGAGACGGTTTGCAGCGCGAGACGTTTGCCGCTCAAAGGACGAGGACTATGGGGATGATGATATCATCACCGACGACCTCCTGCATGGCGATGATGGAGCCAGCTCCTCAGATGCTCGGAGTGGCCGTCAGAAGTGTCGTCGGCTCTGGCACAATCCCAGACTGTGGTATAAAATTCCGCGAGCACGCATGCTTGCAAAGCCTGATATCAGGCCGAACCCAATCTCGCCACAGCCTTACGTGTACGGGCCGTACGGGCAAGCGTTTTGCTGCAAGCGCGAGCGTCCTGCTCGCACATCGGGCATCGCAGCAGCCACGCAAACCGAGCTGCACCTGTTGAGGCCACCATCCTGAACAATGCAATCCATGTGATCGATCAGCAAGTCCAAGGCGTTTTTGCTCTCCTGGGCGCGATCACACGAGGGGGATGGACTGGGGACTAGACTAATTACGTTGACTAAATTTGTTGTGCCCCGAAAGCGCAAGGACAGGTAGCAAGACGGCCAGACATGAGTTGCGGATTCGACAGCGGGTGTGAAACGAAACTCAAAGCCATGGCCATTTGGAGGATGTGTGGGGTGCAGTCCGACAACCCTGTCCAAAGATTATTCTGATTATTCTAGAAGCAGCAGATAGCCCGGCAACTGCAGCAATCGTCAACACTTCGGTGACGGATGATGCGAAGCCATGTATTGAATGACTTCTAAGGTTTCTACATGTTTCTACCTGTTATTCACATTGAAAGGAAGGCTTACCTAGTAGCTTTCCAAGGTCGGTGGTGGTCCGGCAAAAACTTCCGAACTGCAATCCTTGCCGGAGGCTTCAACCCTGACCAGATGGCCATGCAGATGAACTTTTCGCCGGACAGGGTGCGTGAATTGAGTGCTTCGAAGAGGGCTGGCAGAAACTGCGGAAGTTTCCGTTCCAGTGCGTTTCTGATCGGTTCTCAGAAATAACATGTCGCTGTAGTAGTGTTCACAGCCGCCATCAAATTGACGACTACGATGATTCCAAATACATCTTTCCAATACATCTCCACGGTTGGAGCAGCCGTTTGGCACGAGCAGCACCCATCAGTGCCAGGTATCTTTGCCCAGTGACTTGTGTGCCAGGACATGCCATGATAGACATCCTCGCAGCATGCTTTTTTGGATTTTGGTGGGCAGGCTCTGATGGCTTATCAGCTGGCATACGTGTTGACCGACGAAGCGTCAGTGAAGCGTGGCCGAAATCGACGGATGAGGCCGATGACCGGGCCTACAAATTATTGATGGAACTCGGCAATGACCCAGCTCTGATAGCGTTGATGCAGCGACACCACCTAAAGACAGGTTCTCTCAAGGAGTTGGGTCCGCATGATGCTCAGTATGTGTATGAGATAAAGAAGACTGAGTTTGGGATCGAGACCCAAATAGAAGAGGGCTACAATCACATTATGCATTTTGGAAATTGGGAAGGTCGCGTTTCCGAGTACATTGCTCTCAGGATCCGTGCTCCCCCTGGCGACACCGTCTTGAGATTTCCCAAGGTGCTCCCAACGCTGCTGCACGAGCTGGCCCACTGCCGCTTTGACGGATCAGCGGATGCAGCGAAGCACATGCTGGGAGATACCAGGGACCCTGCAGAAAAGCAATTCCGAGATTTCTTGCATCAGCTCGAGAAGGAGTATCGAGAGCTGAAGCGTGACCTGAAAAAGGATAAGATCGCTTCGTCGCATCGGTGCAGAGATGCACGATGGCACACTGGTGCTGCCACTTCTGCAGTGTCCTCGGCAGTCGCGGTAGTTGGCCAGAAAGTAGCGATGTCGTACCAGTACATAACCGTTTCCAGATTCGCGATCGCGGTTTTAGTGTTCGGATCTCTGCGGAAGATGCTTCGTTGGAGAGCTGGCAACTTTGTGAAAAAGCAACACGTGCGCACAAGAGGGCTGAGATTGGATCACCTCAACGGGATCGACGGCACACTCGCTTATTATTCCGCCTGGAGAGGTGTATGGTATTTGCGACGACGCAATGGAGCAACACTCGGGGTAAAGGCTGCCAATCTGGAACCAATTAGCGGATGACCTGGAGATGCAGCAAGGCGGTCTTGCAAAGATGGCGAAGCCGAGCGACTGATGACCGCGGCCGATTGTGTTTCTTGGGCGATGACCAAATCCTGGGTGACTGTGCATGACCGTGGCCACCAGACCTCTGCCTTTGCCCCGAACAGGCGCAAGTTGCCAAATCGAGATGGCGGGCGCCGAGCGGCCAACGTGCATAAAGAAAGAGAGCCCTGGCTATCGTCCTGACCTGATAGTCAACCAACCACCAGTTTGCAGGATCTCGGGGATGCGCCACCCCGTCGCGCTCCACCGTGCGAACCCCATACACAGGGCTTGTTGGATGCTGTTAAGCCAGGATCTTCAGGATCTCTGTGGAACGTGTTTACCTTTACGTCAGGCAAGTCACGGCACGTTGCTAAAGTGGCCTGTCATTTCTTGACATCCTTGATGACTTATAAGGACCAGTGCATGCAAGGTTTCTCGTTTGCTTTAGGGTGCTGTGTGGTCAGGCAGAGCTGTGCTTGTAATGGCATTGTACATACACGGCGGCACGTAGGGAGCTCAGACGCAATTTCCCAGATTCTGAATCCTCAGGCGGGTTGGTCGGGGTGGTATGGACTTCCTCGGTGTCACAGTGGGCACTGGCTGGAGTGAGCCCGGGTCTCTGCTTGGCTGCTTGGGGGTCTGGGAATCGTAACGCACTCGGAGTCTCGATAAACTGCCCAGAGTACAGACTTCGGACTAAGACTCAACTACGGGAGGTGTCGCAACCTCACAGCAACATTAGATCAGTCAGATTTGCTCCAGATGGGCCAGCTCAGGCAGGTCGGTTTCCATGCCAGGGATCGGCTACCGTTCTGGGGGCTTTGCTGTCCATGCGTTCGACAGCAATGCGGAATATACTTCCAGAAATCGGAAATCCAGCTCTTCACCGCAAAACCCCGCAGCAGGCTTGTGCATAGCTTAGAGTGTCTTTCAAAACAGAACGTTTCGCAGGATTCTTGGTGTCTAATTGACAGAGAAGTCACTGACGGGAGAGTCTATGAGGAAAGCCAACGCAACCATCATTGCAAGTTCGAGCACTTCCGTGACACATGGTCAAGAGCGAAGATGAGGCTTTTTGGCCGTGTCATTCGCCCTAGTCCCCCATGTGGATCCTCTACATGAAATGCTGTTTACTCCCTCTAGCCTACCTCGTGGCCTTTTGTCAATTAAAGGAAGAGTTGGTAGATTGAGATGTCTACGCCAACAGGCCTTCTCAGCGAAGCCGTTCTGGGTAGTTTCCTCTCAGATTGATGTTGGTGCAGTTGCGCTATTGGAGATCTGATATCATGCCGTTTGTATGGTTCTCATGTCGTGTGCTGGGAGTGCTAGCTTGAATAAGCATCTAATATTTGCAAATAAACGAATCAATAGCTTAGCAAGCAAGCCTTCACACAAGCCATAGACAAGTATCCAGATAAGGAAAGATAACGTAGATACAGGACAAAACGCGATGGATTTCTAATCGCAAAGGCCCGGTGACCTGGACCTGCCTGGGGAGCATCCCATGCTTCGGCGTGAGCATCAGAGCCACGCGCAACCGTTGCAGCCGCTTCGGCCATGGTTATCACATTCACAGGCTTCAAAAGCGAGTCTCAGAAAGGAGATACAGAGTGATGGAATGAAGCTGCAGAAAGACATCGGGGTCCTTGGCCCGACTCTGCCAGGCAACTGCCGCAGCTGGCTGGTTTCCAGATGCCAGCAGGGCTCTCAGGAAGAACGCACTCCTGCGAATACTCTGGCCGCATCAGCCATGTTTCATGGACTCGCCAACTCAAAGCGGAACCACTGCCTGTCGTGTGTCGGGTGTTCAGTGCGTGGCTGGTGCAACTCGTGCGTACATCTCAGGGTGCATCTGGAGTCGTGGACATGAGTCGAATGCCGGAAGCTCGGTTTCGTCCAGATTAGTAATAGCAAGTCCAGCAGTGCAAGGCCAAGACTAAATTGCTCTTCTGCCGAAGACGATGTGAATCCCAGAACCAGCCTCGGAATGCCGAATGCTGCAGCTGCACAGGGTGCAGCTCGTTCCTGGACCGGATGCTTTCCGCCAGATCTTTGCAGGCTGGGCTTCTGCTTGTCAGAGTCAAGGGGTGTCCAGCCCAAACTGCAGAACTGTCTCCAGATTGTGCAAGACTTTGGCAAATGAGCTCCTGCTCGGCGTTGCTCACAGGCTCCGGCCCGACTGGAGGAGCTGCTGGAGTCATTGGCGGCCCGGGTGGGGCGCAGATTGTCATCACGAGCAGCAGCAACCTCCTTCCGTCAGCACCCCAAGGACCGTGCATGATCGTTCGTTGACGGGAGCGGTAGGTGTTCACTGAGCTTGATATTGATAAGAGTAGGCCGGTTGCCTCAACAGGCGAAAAATGACAGTTTGTGATCCTCTGCTAAAGAAAGAGAGACGCGGCCAACGCGGCCGTCTTTCCTGCCTGCAGCTGATTCTTTCGCCTTAGCCGCCTTAGCCCATCTTGCAAGTTCGTCCCACCACTGTTTTGGAAAGCTCTTGCCGGCTAGCCGGGATCAGGGGTTCTAGATTCTAGATTCTAGATGGTTCTTCGGGGTTTGGGCGAAACGACACTGTTCCCAGCTTGAATGCTTCTTGACGAGGTCTGCAGCTATGGGCGGCGGTGGTGCAGCCATGCCTGCAACAACTAGTCGAGGCTTGCGCATGTGCTGAGTCACCACTGAGACATCTTGAAAGTCTTGAAACGAAACAACTGAGCTTCGCAGAGCGTCAGCAGAAAATAGCAGAAATGTTGAGCTGCCGCCCAGCGGAGGTGGGGGTGCGCTTGCAGCTGCTGCCGCCGAGTCGCTCGACATGGCATACGGGGAGCTGGCGGGCAGGCGCGAACCCAGGGGTCTTTATTTCGACTTGGTTTCTTTAGATGCTAGGAGGCCTGGACCTCACAAAAGAACCCTGCCGAGTTCTCGCATGGGGTCTAGAGCTTCTTCATGAGAGTTGAAAAATCAGGCGATGCAACTGCAGACCAGAATACGGGCTTTGCGATACTCTTGCCTTCCCATGCTGTCAATTTCCTGTGAAGGCTGTCCGACGAGTTGCGCAATGCTCCGACGGACTCTAAGGATGCGCCGGCCACAGAGACCCCTCAAGAATCTCAGGCCAGAGTCATTGGTGTGTCAGTCCAGAGTGCAGTGGAAGAGCTTTGGCCAGAAGATTTCCGTTCCGGAGCCGATTTGCAGGCGCCAGCCCCGGCCGACCCACCCGCGGCACCTGCGGAAGGTCTGGTGGGAAGTCTGGTGCTTGCCGCATGCCAGGAAGTTTTCTATGTGACACGGCGGGTTGGAATCTGCAAGGCAGTCGAGACCTGCCGAGCATCGGAACAGCGTCTCAAAGCTGTGAACGCATTTCAATCTTAGCATGGTGGATAGGGCAGCTTTCCAAATTGCTGCCGCGTCCAGCAGGTGAAACCGTGGCTGCCCCAGACATTCAAGGGTGGTCTGTGCAGGACTTTCAACTGTTTGTGGCGGGTCTGCTGCATGATGATGGCACAGGCTGTCCTACAGATGGAAGCATTGCCTGAGGTGGCAGAAACAGAAGCGACGCAGACTGTGGTTCAGGTTGAGCCGACTATTGCTCGATCTTCCACTCATAGCTGTTGCCGGTTTGAGCTGCTGTATTGCGGCCTGCGTGCGGCCAGGGGCCTCTGTGGCGCAAGCGTAATGTAAGTTAACCTCGTCTGCAGGAATAAGAGTCGCTGACCTGCGAAACCTCTGAGAATCAAGGGTTTCTTAAGAGTCGAGCAGACCTCATGCAAAGATGCTTCTGGGAGATTCCACACGCCCTGTGATGCCAGGTGCCTTCAGACGTTGTGGATGAAGCTTCGGAGCTCTTGGCCCGACTAAACGCAGAGGCGATGAGAGCAACCTCACGCGTCCATCTCAGTCGGCAATAAGATTTCTGCAGCGATGCGTGGTCGCCAGGAGGCTGAAGAGCAGGTCGAAGAGGCACCCGCGGAGGTCCAGGCCTGCAGCGGCTCAATGCGAGATTTCATGGGCCAGAGCGCTGCACTGCACTTCATTGTCCCAGGCTGAGGAGCCCCAGCAAGAGGCGTGGCCAGAGACGCATCCACATTTGGCTGACTCGGTAAACTTTCATTCATGCCCAGTAAATAGTTCTGTTTTTGTTGACTATGTCGAACTGTCTTCGCTTGTTGTGCGTAGTTACGAGCCATCCCCTCAACAAACTTCGGGGCCTTTGTGTAAATATGACCCAGTGTAGTCGATTTGAATCCGAAGGCGTTCTACTGGGTCGGGACGCTTTAGGTAGCTATTCACAGAAGGCCTCGACGTGTTTGTGGGAGAATCGGGAAACCAACGACACGCATTGGGGGTCCAATGACGCGATCAAAGGCAGAGGAAGCCACAGAGGCTGCGGCCCCTCCTGCTGCGGAGGACCGCAAGGGAACGAGGGCTGCCTGAGACGTTGGCGTTAAAACACTTGGGAAAAGAGTTTTACCTTTTGAGGTTTAGAGTTTGGCGGAGTGGGATTAAAGGTTGGGGGGAGCTTGAGTTGGGGGATATGATATGCAGGGTTGCCAATGTCCAGGATCCAGCCGCTGCTTTGGGCATCGCCTGCACCTTGGGAAAAGGGTGATGAAGAAAGAGTGCTGCAAATTCCGTCGCATTTTTGTGACTTTCGAGTTCCGATGCTTCGTGCTTTGCTCGTCGAGTCGTTTTGGCCTGGCTTGTCCTCAGGCCGAGCTTGAGCGGCTGGCGACCAGCCTCGGCTGCACGCAGACGGCCCTTCTACAGGACACGACACATTACGCTATGTTACACCTGCTGAACCACTATACGGGTCCGTCGTCGAGCAACGCGAAGCATCGCGACCAGGCTGCAGAGATCGATGCATCCGTCGTGGCAGAGCTCCCGGAGGATGCCGTGGGTCGGATCGGTTTGCAGGCTGATTCTTCCGGTTGGAGGTCAGTACGAGGTGCTAGTGCTTGCTGTGAGGCACTGCTACTGTTACCAATGCACGAAAACGCAGGTGACCGTTGCGAGATACACTGTCGCCTGCTTCGCAGGACATGCGTGGAGCGGTGGTCATGGCGACCTTATCACAGGCCGCCTGCCGTCCGAAAGTTCCGTTTCGTGCATGCACATGCCTGAGGGGTACCACGTGGGAGGGTGCATCAGATTGCATGTGGATTGGCAGAAAATCACGCTTGGTGCCACCGTATCAAAATCGAAAGCACCAGACGCAACGGTACGACGCTGTGCCAGCCAGTTGTTCTTGCGGTATCCGACGAAGAAATTGCAGCAGGGTGTGCAGAAGGTACATAGTTCGAAGACGGTGAAGAGAATTGAGAAGGTGGCAACAGCAAAACCGCACTCATCGAAAGGTGGAACAACTTCTGTCACACATCGAATTGTGCGACAACTCCTGTCAGAAGCTGCCAGAATCTGCACATCGGTGGCCACTCGGAGTGAAGCACCCGAGACCGTCGAAGTGTGCACCAAATTTGCAAGTACAGCTACGAATCGAACGTTATCGGAGTGCACCCAACGACCGTCACTCTCCGAGCAACGCAAACTGAACTTCCGCAGGGGTAGTTGTTGCCGTGCCCGCTGATCGTTCGGGTAATGTGGAGGCAGGGAACTGCACAAAAAGTTGCTACTGGGTCACACAATGTGGATGAGACGAAGCTGCTGCTGTATGGCTCATGTTGATTTGCACAACGCAGGCAGGCGCTGGAAAACCGCCACCAAAAGCCAATATGATCTATCAAGGTACATTCTGGCCAATTCTCTGGCCGGCAGCAATTTTGCTGACGATGATCTGAAGTGAGACCAGTGTCGATTGCTTGCTTCCGTTCGGTGGTGAGCTCCCACAAGCAGTGAAGATTTGAACCTTTTGCCTGAGTGGGATGCACCATCCAAGTGTGGTTGCCGAATTTGTCAGCAGAGTCAAGATGAGGTCGCCTGATGGAAGCGGAGGGGGGCCCACGCAAACCCCATTGAATTGCATTGACTCACCAGCATCGCTACCATCCCACAAGTGTCATCGCTGGCACTATCCCGAGCATCCTAGCCATCTTATCATCATCATCATCATCATCATCATCATCATCATCATGCCTCAACTCTTGACAGGTTAATGTCGACCACTTGCGCACCCGTGGAGCCGCGACAGAGGGTGCTGGCACTGGCCCAGCCCCGGAAGCAGGCCATGTGCAATGCCTTCGCCGTGATAGCTACGAGCAATAGTACAGTATAGCGCAACTCAATAGTGCCGTAGTAGGCTAGTGGCGGCTCGTATGACACACGGCCGCAATGGCAACAGTCATGGCAACTGCAAGTTGTAGCAGTGCTTTAATGTGCGTAGTGTAGGTAGCACAAGAAGCCCTGTTGTCGCTGTACGCAGCCTAGCTGCGTCATGTCTGTCGACCACGTACACATCAGCGGGCGTGTTGGTTCCCTTCATCCTTGTGCTGTGAGACGGTTCCTGGCCGCGCGCACACACATATTATAAATAAATAAATAAATAAATATATATATATATATATATATATCTCACATTTCTCACATTTCGGGCGTAGATTCCGTGCGCGGTTGCAGCCCGTTGGTTGCATAATTAATTAACAAGGTGAGACAGAAAAGGTTCCCACGTGAAGACCTTAGTGAACCAGACAGTCCCCCAACTGGCCTTGAAAGAGGCAAGGAAGGGAAGGGAAGCAACTGAAACAGGTACCACGTCATGCTGATCTGTACAGAGAGCAGCAGGAACACCCAAAAGCCAAAGGCGGAGGGCAAACCTGAGCAGGTCACCAGCAAGGAGCGCATTGGTCAAGCGGGAACGAAAGATCCGTTGTCGAACGGGTGGAATGGGGCAATCCTTCCAAAGGGGGAGTCCACCGGTTGAAATGACAAACACAGCATCAGTGCCAACATCTTCCATGAAGGAGGGGAGGCCACCCTCCTCAAAGGCATGGAGGCACTCTTCATGTGTGAAGTCCACGAAAGATGCTGACTCCGGTCCCCAGGCCCGAAGCCACCCTGTAGACCCAATCCTAACAAGAGTCCACTCAGGGGAGAGATCAAGGGTGGGACGTACCAGATGGGCAACCTGCAACTCTGGTAGGACCTCCTCCACATCCCTGAATGTGCAGACTTGTCTGAAAGTACCTGTGGGCTGCGGGACGAGCCAGTCAGCGAGGTCCGCAGTGAGGATCCATTGGGCAATGCTTGAGAGTGTGCCCTCCGGAAAAACATCATCTACGGTATCGCCAGCTAGGGTGGCAGCCCATTCCCTCGCAGTAGCCCGGATCTTGCGGATAGGGAGGCAAACCGAGGAAAAGGCCATACGAGTTCTCTCCCATGCAACGTTAGCAGCCGGAGTATCGTCCCCAAGACCAAAGGAGATATGGCTTAGGCATTCCAGGACTTCGATGGCCGGCCTATCAAGGTACTCAACCCATTCAGCACCAAGTAAAGGGAGGAGGGGCCCCTGCGCTTGCAGGGAAGGCGCCTGGAATTTCCCTTCATCAGGAGCACGCTTGTTGCCCACCCCCGGTTCAACCCTACAGCCGTAGCCCGCTTCCCTAAGCTTAGAACGGCAGTCGGGGTGGTACTGCAAATGGCGGCAAAGGCGAATATGCGTAGTAAAGTGCCGGAGGCACGCCTGGCACTGGGTGCCACCTTGGACCTGGCGGTGTTCGGCCGTATGACCATGGGACTTAAAAGCATGAACAGACCAGGCCTGATACGTGTCAAAGCGCTTGAGACATGGAGCACAGAAGTGTTGTTGCCCCGCCAGGCTAGGGGCATCCGGCGGCAGGGAAGCCCCTGCTTGCCTCAGTTGTCGGCAGACAAGCCCAGAATGGTGTCTCTCGGATGACAACCAAAGCTCCTGCCTGATTGCCTGTGCCTGGGCATTTCGAATGAGGCCCTTCCACCGCCGCGGCTGATGTAGGCACCACTCCTTCCACAGGCCCCAGGCATCTTGCCAGCAGCTCGTAGAGACTCCATGGTCCGTCTGTTCCCAGAGCCAAGCAACCGAAGAGCGGGCAGATGCAAGCCATTGGCCATGCCAGTGCAAGATGGCCCACATGATAGGAACCCCTGTAGCCAGGCAGGAAAGAAGATGGCGCAGCCTAGCAACGTGTAGAAGCGTCTGGATGGACGGCAGGCCTAAAAGGGCAAGAACCCGGCTACGACTTAGATGCATAGCTTGCTCGCAAGAAAGCTGTGGCCTGAGCATGTAGCAGGCCATCCCATGGTAGGCCGTCGACAAGATGGCAAGATCCGAGCTCTTGAGTTCTCCCCATGTGCCTGCTCCATGCAAGAGGACCGTAAGAATGAGGGTCTCAAAGAGCATGACTTTATCCCGTCGCTCAACAGCGGGCGCTGAAAAGACCTTTTTCTTGCGGTCATTGAAAGCCTTCCACGCCAGACTGACCCTATGTCTGAGTTCTCGGGTCATAGAGGCGTCATGGTGGATGAACCCACCCAAGTGCTGGTACGTGGGTACCAAGCGGACGGCTGCAGTAGGCCAGAGTCTACAATGCAGGGCGAGTTTAGGATCCGAACCTGAGAACAGCTCCGCCCGCACAGCGCGCGACCGCGGGCCAACCAAGCTGGCAACAAATTCTGTTTTACCTCGGTCGAGGTTAGGCAAAAGCGCACGCGCAACACAGGAATCGATGACCGCCCGGCCCATGGTGCGCAAGGCAGACGGCAAGGCTGAGGCAGAGGAAGCCTCAATCAAGAAGGACGCGTCATCCATCCAAGTCGAATCAAGAGGATGAAGCGCCTCATGGCAGTCGTCATCAACAGGAAACAAATTGCCCAGCATCCTTGAAGACCAGGGGATCTCGGGAATCGGGAAGGGCCTGCTGTTGGGCAAGGTCGGACTGGACCGACTTGAGAACCTTCGCGAAGATAAAGGAAAAGCAGACATCTGCCAGGTTATCCCCGGGGCGGGAACCGATGCCGGTGCGTATCACCTTCTCTCCACCTTGTGGAACCTAAACCATGTTCCTGCCAGGGCTTCTGCAATACAGGCCTCCGTCCACTGAGATGTTCCCGCCTCTGCTAAGACCGAGCGGTTGCTGAGATGGAGGTGCAATTCATGCATTACCTCAGGAGGTAAGCGAACAGCCCGGGCGACACGTGCAAAGTCCTCATCCCCACACGGGGATCCAACCAGAAGTGGTCGCACCACCCGGTAAAAGGCTTCACGGAGGTCCAGGAACATAAGGCCGTAGCTGCGGTGACGCCTCTGGCTGCCTTCCTGAAAAAGCCGCACAAAGTGTGACGCAACAACTACTGGGAACTTTGGCAGTCCGCCTATTTGCATGTCTTGTCCGAACTCACCAAGGGCCCCGACTGAGCGGGCTCTTACTGTCCGGTGGAACGCCTTCCCAGTTGTCGAACTGACCAAGATGCCACGGAAGGAGGAGCACTTGGAAGTACTTGATTTCCCCTTCCAGATCGCGAAGAGGCTTCCACCCTTAAATTGGAGTGGCTCCGCGACCCTGAGCGACATTTTAAGGAACAATTGAAAGAGCGGTCGCGATAACGCACCTGCGGCAACATGTGGAACCTCGCCTGGTATGTTATCGATCCCGTAGGCCTTCCCTGTCTGTGTCTTTCGAAGGGAACCCTCGAGTTCAAGCCTCGACGGAACGTCTGCCACCGATAGGCAGTACCCATCTAGGTCTCGTCCATCCTGGGTAGCCTGTATATCGCGAGCCAGAAGCACGGGGTCCATGCAAACTCCATCTTCAATCCCCGCGAAGTGCTGGATCCATAATGCTTCGGCTTCCGCCTGCGTTTGTGCGATTGTACCGTCTTCGTGACACACAGTCTGGAGGGATCTCTGTTGGTGAGCCCTGCGTTTGGGTGGCCCCAACAGGGGCCGAAGCCGTGTAACAACATCGGCGGTGGGGATGGCTGCTGCGGCAGCAGCAGTCTCTGCAACGCGTCGCCTGACATCAGTCCTGATCAAGTGTCGAAGGTGGCCCTTGGTGTGCTGCATGTCCTGCACAAACGCACCAAATCTTCGAACAAGCCTCATGACTGGAAAGAGGGCAAGAACCCGTCCAACTGCGATTGGAAGCGCCTTTTGCAGGCTACAGAGCGCAGCCTGTGCTTCTGCCAATCTAAGTCCAGCCCTTTCCTTGGCCAGCTGACGTCGTAGCCAGGAGCGCTTCTGCCGCATGTCCCATGTCTTGGCACTAAAGTAGGAAGTCCTGCAGTTACCCCTCTTGCTAGGAAAGGCCACAGAAAGGGCTTCTGTCAGGTGCCGTTCCAGCTCAGCATAATGTCGGTGAACATTACTGGTCCACGGCTGCAAGGGTAGACGGTGGCATATGGCTTCTACAACAGCTCGTCCTTCGTCGGTACACATCGCCTCCCGATCAAAGCGAGCTTCCCGACTGCGCCGTGACGGAGGGGCCTGAGTCTGAAAATACACCTGCACCGTGAGGCCATAGTGATCTGCGCGAGCTTGGCACCAGTCGACAGAAGTGTCAATCCAAGTGCCATTAAGTGGGACACTCCAAGCCGTGGGAATCGAGAAGTAGTCCAAGCGGGCTCCTGTGGTCCCCGTAGGCGAGACCCAGGTCTCGTGTTGGCCCGAATGGCAACCCTCAAATGTACTAGGTACCCACAGCCCGCAGTGCCGCAAAATGTGTAAGAGGCCTGTTGGTGTGTCATGCTTAATGGGCCAGACCAAGTTGCCTACGCACCCATTGATCTCAGTGTCAAAGCCGGCATTATAATCGCCAACAAGAACAACAGAGGCACCCCTACGAAAACTGGAGATTCTGTCCCGGAGGGACTGCCACCATTCTTGCCGGTTCGAGCTGCCAGCAACCGGAGCGTGTACACAGACAAACAGGACATGTATCCCCGCACGGGAGAAACGGACATGTAGTTCACGCGGGGATGCATGGAGTGTAAGAAAATCCTTGGGGTCAAAGCAGCCTTGGGCACCCTGACAACGGAGGAAGGGAATGGTCCTCGAAAACCAAAGCTCGCACCCATAGTTGCCACCTGAATCTTTAGCTGTGCAGAACCGGACATGCGTCTGAGAGACAAAGGTGGCATCCGCAGGCGCTCTGGCCTCCTGTAACGCCGCAACCTGAACACCTAAATACTGGAGCTGTTCTCTGAGATACCTGGCTCTGCCAGTAAATCCGTCGGCAGCGGCTGTCGAAGAGGTGTCCGGATGCGAGTCTGTCAAAGACTGAACATTGATAGTG